TTGCTTTACTGAAAAAAAAAATCCACAATAATTTTCAATTACCAGTCGTTGGAGCAGGAATGCTGGTCGGCTGGCTGGCGGTCGTGAAGCCTTTCCGGTGTTGCCCCCTCCTTAAAAGTAAGAGAAACTCTCACTAATAAGCCACTCAACATTTATCCCCCAAATTCACCTTCTTGGCATCAAATAAAAAAAGTGGTTTGCACAAACAACAGAAATGTGTCTTCAAAACTAAAATATTTTACGCTTGAAATGAAGCGATAAAGCTTTAAAATCCATCAAGAAAGAAGGCCGTATCCTGTTCTCGTGTTTGTACTTCGACACGCATCGGGACATCTGATCAAGCTGCCATATTTCCTTCCCTCAGGCCAGAGAAACTCTGTAAACAATATTAAAGTTAGCAGTCTTTTAATGCACAGTCTTCAAAAACCAGTTGTGCATCGTATGGTTTGGAGAATGGACTTAAAAAAGTGTGCACAGTTATTTTTAGGGGTGGGGGGGTGAACCAGAGGTTGGGTGGGAGTTGTGAGAACAAAGATGTTCAGTGTTTTCCAGAGGGAGGATGGGTGGCGAAGCCAGGCGGAGGGGAGAGACAGGCTGCTGGGTGACGTCTGATGTCACCTGGTAGGGAGCTATGAAAGCTTCCCCCCCTGGTTACTCTATCCCACATAAAAGTCTGGCAGAAGACTGAGGCTTTAGGGAAGCTTGTCAGAACCGCTGCATTGAACAGGAACAAACATCACACACCCTTTCTTTTCTGTCTCTTATGTCAAGGCGTCGGGAGAGGCAGCGCTTGTTTACACGGAACGGCATCGTTGCACATTTCCAATGCAGAGAGTGGAGATCTAACACCTCGTTCCTTCACAGTAAAATTTGCAGTGTTAAATCAACACTTAAAGAGATAACTTTAACACTGTGTCCAAGTCTATTTGGTCTTTATCTGAATTGGTGTCAATTTAACTCTTTCCATWGTGTTAMATTTTCAGAGTACAATTTACSTCTAAACAGAGTTAAAAATTAACACTGACTAACACTGAACAGTGTTAATAAAACTTAACACTGCACAGGGTTAATAAAACTTAACACTGCACAGAGTTAATAAAACTTAACACTGCAGTGTTAATAAAACTTAACACTGTACAGAGTTAATAAAACTTAACGCTGGACAGGTTAATAAAACTTAACACTGAAGTGTTAATAAAACTTAACGCTGGACAGGGTTAATAAAACTTAACACTGCACAGAGTTAATAAAACTTAACACTGCAGTGTTAATAAAACTTAACGCTGGACAGTGCTAATAAAACTTAAAACTTCAAGTCAAGTAACTCTGAGAGTAAATATGATTCTAAGAAGAGTTAATAAGGTACTCCACTGTGGTGACAAATCAACWCTGATTCTCATGCTTTTCAACACTGCATTGAGTTGTTGATGGTTAACMCTGGAGGTTTGTATACCTCCTATGAGTGTTAATTTGATTTTTTTACTCTTTTGCTGAGTAGAGGGGTGTAAAACAGACACTATGAGGTGTCATTACACAGCAAACACTTCAGAGTTCAGATCAACTCTTTAGTGTTGCGTTAACATTACACAATAATTACTGAATAAGAGTCGTAATAGTCGACCTTCACACACCAGGAAGTACCTCTCACTCTACACCTCATGGTGTCGATTTATGGCCAATAACACAAACTTAAACTTCATCAACCTGAAAAACAACTAACTAGAACAACTCATGAACTTCTTTAATAGTCATAAACATGCAAACACATCATTTCTACAAGATTACCTTGCTATGAAAATACTGGTGTGTCTGACATGAGGTGGAAGAGGGYGGGGCTTTTTCAGAATACATTTATCAACACTGCATGGTGTTATATAACAACAGTGTTAAGTGTTATGTAAGACTCAACAGTGGGTGGAGCTTATTTAACACTGTCTAGTGTTGAGACAACACTGAGGAAATCAACACTGTGAATTAACACCAACACTGGAAGTCATTTTTTTCAGTAAGTGTTAAAAATAACACTAGGGGGAGTTAAATTAACTCTGAAAAGTTTAACACTGAAATTTTAATACTGGTTTTTACTGTGTTCAACCTCTCCATCCCCCTCTTCCTGAAACGTCTTCCCAACGCGTCGTTCACATCACATAGAAGGATTTTAGGTTTAAAAAAAAGAAAGAAAAAGAAACATTTTGCATCAGTTTTGTTTGAAATTACTAGCAGATTTCTTTGTTGGCCCCTCAATAGCTGTTGGTGATCTGACAGAGAAAGAATGAGAGCAGCGAGATGCCAGAAAGCAGTTAATTACACATGTGGCGGGCAGATTTTGATGCCGACACCGTGGGCGATGCGGTTGGAGATGCCATGTGTTTAGACGTTCAGACTGCGGTCAGATCCAGCCAGCTCTCTCATTAGCTCCACCAGTAGGTGTAATGAGCGGGGGGATGTGTTTGAAACAAGTCCTGATGGTCCCCTGGTTGTGCGTTTCCTCTTATCTGAGCAATAATTAAAACTTAAATTTGTTTCTGGCAGCCGGTTGATGGATTCAGTTTTCAAGGTATTTTAATGCTGAGTTGTGTTTTTGTTCGGAGGTGTCGTACCTTGCTCCGCTCCGTCATGGGAACAGGGATGGGGAAGAAAAAGTGTCTGTGTTTGATGTTTCCTCTGARCCTCAGAACAGTGCGTATCCTTGAACTCCCTCCTCCTTCCACACTGCCCTTCATTAAGGGACCGGAGGATAAAAGAGGGGAGATAAAAGCTTCCAGTTAGCTAGCTGCTATTAGCAGTCATTCTGGCAGTTTTGTATAAAGTACCTCAAAGTGATACTTGAGTAAAAGTACAAGTATCTTATCATAAAAATACTTTGGTAAAAGTTAAAGTCTTCTCTAAAAATATTACTTGAGTAAAAGTACAAGTATCTTATCATAAAAATACTTTGGTAAAAGTTAAAGTCTTCTCTAAAAATATTACGTGAGTAAAAGTCTTAAAGTATCTGATATTTTTTGTACTTAAGTATCAAACGTAAATTTCTGACACAAAATCTACTTAAGTATTAAAAGTAAAAGTACTGAGTAATAGTGACCAGTTAGATTTTCCAAAATGACATTTATTGGGAGGTGACTTCTCTAAAAAAAATTTCTAATGGTATAATGTAGAATTGCCACTGGTTATTATTTATGTAATGATTGAGAGGTAGAGTTGTTTGGCGTGCAGACACAAACGTGGATGCTTATCGAGATTGTTGGGAGCAGTGATGGTTGTAGAGTCTAACAGCTGATGGGAGGAATGATCTGCGGTAACGCTCTTTTGTGCATAAGCTTCCTCTGTGTCTTTCCGTACATTTGTATCTTATTGAAATAGCCACACTGTAAAGCTTGTGTTTGTGGGATTTTGGGTTGGTGTTTGAACGTATAAACTGAGAGATCGTCGTTATTAGCTTGTAATGCTAACAGCAGCTACCCTGGTCAGAGAGCACAGCAGCTGGCTGATCTGTTTACGTTCCTAAAAAGTTGATTTCTGACTTTCAAGGTAAATAGAACAAAGCTCTCCCACTGAGCTCCGAGAGGCCAGAGTAAACAGATAGGTCCTATCTCCAAAACTCTCTCTTCCTCTTATGTATCTCCCCTTCATCTCTATGTTGCTCTTTTCCTTCCCCTCCTCCTCTCCATAACACTTGACTCCTCTTTTTTTCCTGTCTCTGGTGGCCAATTTGCCAGTACCATTCAAGTCTCGACCCTGAGACTCATCAGGCCAACCCCCCCACCCCCACCATCGTCATTATAAAGCTTGAAGGTCAGGACCAGATTACCAGACCGGAGGTATCATCTACTGAGGAGAGAAATAATCTGCGTCTCTGAGATTGTTAAATAGAACCACAAGTGCTGTGATTAAACTGAGGGGTGGAGGGGAAGGAGATAATGTGTGTGTGTGTGCGTGCGTGCGTGTGTGTGTGTGTGTGTGTTGGCTCACCTAAACACATGCAGATGTTCAGCCTCAGTCCTGTCAGAGGTACATGGCGTTCTTTTGTTTTCCAGCATCTATCTGTTTTTTATTTGCTTGGCCTCCTTTCATTTAATCGGATTCTTTTTATTTATTTATTTTTCATTTCAAAGTGTGTTCAGGGCAGCTTGAGAGGGCCGAGGAATGACGTAAATGAGATGAATCATTTGTTGTTTGAGTACCCGTGGTTCTGTGGGCCTGTGCTGCACTTAATTTTCATTGTTTCCACAAATCTGGTCGTAATTAAAAAAATAAAAATCAAAAAGTGGTTGGGGTTCGGAGGCCGTTGTTGCCGTCGCCTCCGTGCGCCTCTGCTTCAGCACGTGCGTGAGATGCCGCGTGGTTCTGATTTATGCTGGAAATAGATCATTCACAAATGACTTTTTTGATTATCGTTTTAATTCTTTCCATCTTTTTATGCCTCTTAACATATTGTCACGACTTGTTCCATGCTATCTGCAAGGCCGCTTCCATCAGGCATTCAAAATAAATGCAGCTCAGACCTCGCTTTTTTTCCCCTTTTACATAAACTAAACATTTCAGTGAAGCTGTTTAAAAAGTAATACAACAAAACTCTTCCCCCCTAAACTCTTGAGTTTCCATCAAAAGCTTCTCAGAGGGTCTGTCGTGACGAGAAGGATGAGAATAAACAGGTCAGATGATGGAAGTGCATCTCTGGACTGTTTCTTCTTTTTTTAATGGATGTGAGGGATCCGTTTGGAAGAGCTGGGAGGAATCTTGAAAGCACGTCTGTGGCCCCGGCGCTCGCCGCGTCCCAGACAGCGGCGCACAATAAGCGTGCAGATGTTCAAAGAGTTTCGGCCGCGCTGGAGCCTCCGGCGCTCGTCTGAGTGGGAAACGCTTTGGCTGGAATTGTTTTTTTTTTTTTTCTCTGTGTCTGTGGTTCTGAACTGTGGATTCACTTACATCTCTGATCCCCTCCTCCTCCTCCTCTTCGTCTCCTCTCTGTCGTTCTCTCCTCACGTCTTTCCTTCTCCCAGAACTGTGAGCTGAAGGAAGGACAACTCGCAGATCAACATTGTCCCCTAGAGGGTAAGAAGAGAAGAAAGTGTTTTTAAAGTTTTGTTTTTAAAGTCAAAATCAAAGAAAACATCTTTATATTTAAGAAACTTTGCATATTAAACACAATTTAACTATTTTGTCACACAACTGGCAGATTTTCTTCAGGATTTGGCTCAGCCAAAATGAAACAGGAAGTGACATCACTCTTTAAGAAAAGGAACTCCCTGTTTTTTTTTTATTGTAACATTATTTGAACTCTGACTCTTGATCTCTTTGATGTGACTCAAAATAATCTAAAGAAACATTGGGGTCTCTACAGTCTGTGTTGTTAGCCAAATAGCAATGCTCTGTTTTATGCAGACATTCCCCTTTGACATCACTTCCTGTTAGTTCTCATGCAAATATCTCAACAACTGTTCATCTCAGCAGAGTGAAATTATTTTCGCAATATGTTACCAGTGTTGTCTTTCCAAAAATGCATTCATATTTATTGCAAAAAATTGATGTCACAGGCACTTTAATTGTTTGTAGCTGTAGAAAGCAGGTCTAAAACTTGGCTGCAGATTGTTTACTTAACCCTGGTCGCCTGTTAGTAAAATATCCCCTGAATCCTTGAACAGATTTAAATGAAACTCAGAAAATAATCGCTGGCTCTGCAGCTCTGGAGTCAGTAAAATTAAAGATGGCCACCACAGCTAAACTGGCTTTAACTCAGTCAACTTCACAGACACTGAGCTAAAATTGGACGTGGTGGTAGCTGAGAGTTGTGTCCAACACATCGAAATGATGCTCCAGATGTTACGATTTCTCGTGCAGTTGCTCCTAACATTTTTGAAATTTGAGCAAAAGGGCTAAAACAGTATAATTTTTCAAAATAAGAGCATCTTATTAAACTAAGGCCAAACATTTTGCCACATGAGCCAAAATCATAAAGTCAGAAGGACTTGAGGGTTAAAAATATTTTTCCTTTACCTGCTCAACAATAAACTAAGCACTGAATACTTTAATTAAACAAATAAAGTAGTCGGATTTATTTCTGGAAATGGATGCATAAATTAATCTAGATCCAGAACTTTCAAAGTGTTTTGCAGGTTTCCCTTATTGAAATAAATTTTGCAATTTTCTAGGTTTTAATTGGGGAAAAAAATAACCAAATTTAGCCAATTCTGATCAATAAAATCATGATTTAGGTCACTCCTTCATTGAAAATGCTTTCTGTATTCAGATAAATTTAATTAAATATTTAAAATCAGATTGGAGTGCAGCAAAATCAGCTTCTGAGTAGAAGTCATTAGATGTGGAAAAAGCTAAGAGTCTGGTTATTTAAAGACGAATAATTGGTATTGTTGCCAATATTTGTTATTATAAGATTTGACTTTGTGATAAATTTGCCCTAACAATAAATATAAAGTCTCCATCTACATCAAACACCTGTGCCAGGGGACAAATTTGTAAAGAAATTTGTATAATTCTTGAATTAAAGTCAGGGGCCACACAAAATCAGTTCAGAGGCCACAAATGGCCCCTGGGCCACACTTTGGACACTCCTGAACTAAGGCATGAGAGCTTGCATGCGTTTTGTTTAAATGTTAATTTTGCAGTGGATAAAAAAGTGAAATTTTTCTGTATAGTTTGTATTTCATATATGAAATGGGTTGTATTTAAAATATTATATCCCACTTCTGCAACAAATTATAAGCAAAGTATAAAATACACAGAGTTTTACCACGATTTGATTTTTAATTGCTGAATGTCTCATTTCTGACCAAAAAAAAAAAACTGCTGTAAAGTTAATATATTGTCAGATTTAAGGATATTATAGGTGCCCTGATACCGTTTTTTCTTAAACTGAATGTGAGTACTACAGTTGGAGTACTCGTAAATACAGAAACCGAGTACTTACTGAGTTAGAAATTAAACATTACAGGATAAATTTTAAAACACATTTGTTTTATTTAGAACAAGGTGTGTCTCTTTCCTTATAAACCTACAGCCCCGCTGACTGGATCAAATCAAATATACAGCAGGGTCGGTTTGAGTACTGGGGCATTTTGCACGTGTAAAAACGCTGGTATCCAGACATCACCAGAGGATATCTTACGTACTCTGTGAGATCCATAAAWTGTTTGTGGTTTTTAGTTTGAATGTTTTGTGTTTACAGTGGTTCTTCCTCCGGAGAAGGCCGAGGGCTGCGAGAGCTTCCTTCACCCGGAGGACGGAGACAAGGAGACGCTCCGAGACGCCGCCAAGGCTTCAGGAAAGAAACGCATCAGCCTCAATGTAATTATGACCTGGAAATGTTTGTTTTGTTTTATGGAACAATAACACAATAAGAGTGTGATTTACATCTATATGAGCAGAAGTGGGGCAGCCCATGTGACGGGGGACCCCCCCCCCCCCCACACACACACACACACACACACACACACCTGACCCATAAACAGTTTGACCCTCTGAGGCAGTGAGACCCATCCACTGCTGCCCTTTATAGCTGCTGCTAATTTTAATCTAAACTTTATATTAATAGCTTAAATGGTGTATTTTAATATATTTTTGTGTGTTTCAGGTATTTTTTTTAAATATTTATATTCTCACACCCACATACCCAGGTTTATTTATATCAGACATTGATTAGATAGAAGTTGTGGGTTCAATTGGGGGGACAATAAAGGCTATTTCTATTCTAATTTAATTATAGGTTTTCTAAGCTTTACTTTACCCACATGAATCCTGACATCCCTGCTTACAATAATCTGACTGAATGGAGGAACCAACAAACTGAATGAACTGACGGGAAAATTTTGACTTTCGTGCTATAAATATTTAGAGGAGCCCTTCAGCCATCACAGTGAGTTATGTAAATTTTATTATATGTTGCAAAATCAAAAAGGATTCCAGATCTGCTTGATATATATATATACACACACATATATATATATATATATATACACACTGTATATATATATATATATTAGTTCTATAAATATATATATTAGTTCTATAAATATCAGCCAATAATAATCAGAAAAGTCTAAATCAAAGTTACTGCCAGAATGTTGTTAGTATTGTTTGAAAGATAATTTACTATACACATATACACACGCAGTTCTGGTTTGTATATTCCCGTGGGGACCATGCATTGACTTCCATTCATTTTTTTTGGAAATTTTATATCCTAACCCTGACCATTTACCCTAAATTTAAAGTCACAGGTGCCTACCTGACCCTAAAACTAACCTAAACTCAATTCACAAAGAAGATATGTTTATTTAAATCTTACTGTACATCTCTGTATACTACCCCCTTGTGGTGTAAATTTTAAAAAGCTAGTATGCAGAAGCTTAAAGTTGCTTATAATGAATGACTCCTTGAGAGTTCTGCTGAAAAAAACCCAGATTCAGTAGTGCAAGTGAGATGTTTTGTAACGCACATGTCAAGACATTTCAGGCACTTATGAGACATATTTAATATACAAATTTATGTGTCGTTTGTGTAAATCCAAGAACAGTCTTATTTTAATGTTGTCACATCCTTCTGGGAGTGCGTTACGCTACCAGTCATCTTTATGGAAATACTGGTATGCAAGTCTTTTATATGTTTTTCCGTTTTTGTTGTGTATTACGTTTGTTGTGTCTCTTTTATGTCAACGTGGACAATGAGTCTATTGAATAAACTAATCAATCAATCAATCAATCAATCAATCACACCTTGGTCCTAAACCTAACCCCACACCCGTAATTTGCATTTGGACCCAGGTCCCCACGATTCACTTCGGTCCCCACGAGGCTGCTATTTTCTGGGAAAATTGTCCACACGTTGTAGGAAAAACCCATACACACACACACACACACACACACACACACACACACACACACACACACACACACAAAACATTTAATGACCAAAGAATGGCCCAGATAGAATCAGTGTGCTCTGCTGCCCCCTGCTGTTGTAGCTTTATCACTGCGCTCCCAGAGACCAACAAACAGCAAATGGAAAGTTCCCGTGTGACACGTGTGTGTGTGTGTGTGTGTTCTCAGGATGTGGAGTGTGACGTTTCCATAGAGGACGACAACCGTCAAGAGTGGATCTTCACTCTGTACGACTTCGACAACAGCGGCAAAGTTACCAAAGAGGTACGTGGAGCGATCAGGTCGACAACGTCTCGGTTGGTTTTATTTGTGATTGGTGGGATGTGAGAGGACGAGCTGTGTTTTCCACGTCCCTGCAGGACATGTCCAGTTTGATGCACACCATCTACGATGTGGTGGACGCGTCTGTCAATCACTCCTGCCACAACAAAAGCAAGACCCTGCGCGTTAAACTGACCGTCACTCCGGAGCCGAGGTGCCACAGACGAGAAACGGGAGCAGGTCTTTTTTAAAAAAAATACAACACAAAGTTTGCGTTTTTTGTTAGCTTGTGTCGAGAAACGTTGATTCTTAACTCTTCCCTCCTCAGAGCGCTGTCACCACGAGGAGGGTCGTCCGTCTGACAAGCGGCTGTCCTCGTACCTCAGGTGCAGCTGAAGCCTTCTGAACATAAACACTAAACGTAGAAACTGTTTGATTTTTACCCTTTTTTTATTTTGTTGTTCCAAATTTACTCACTCACAGCAGCAAGGGGCAGAGCAGCGAGCCTCCTGCCACCGAGGGCCAGCATTACTGTGTGGACGAGAACACGGAGAGGAGGAATCACTACCTGGACCTGGCCGGTATCGAGAACTACACCTCCAGATTCGAAGGTAAAAYAGGCGAGAGCTTTGGACGTTGGTACAGGCTTACAAAATGTGCAACAGCAAAGCAGGAGCTCTGGTTGTTTCATCTTACAAAGTGGGCGGGGCTAGGGTAAGGCAATGTGCTGCCCTTGAATTTTTGTTAGGATATGAATTTTCGGTTTAAATAACCTGTTTAAATAGCTTGAACATGTTCGGAACGTCGGACAGTGTTGTGTAAAGTACCACAAAATGATACTTGAGTAAAAGTACAGGTATCTTACCAAAAAATTACTTTGGTAAAAGTTAAAGTCTCCTTTAGGAATAGTACTTGAGTAAAAGTCTTAAAGTATCTGATATTTTTTGTACTTAAGTATTAAAAGTAAGTGCAGTGAGCCTAATATAAACAACTATGTTTGCTCAACCCTCCTCCTTCACGACTGTACCTGTCCCGATGTGCCCACCCCCCTACCTCGCACTGCTCACAAGACATGAGCCCAAAATTTGTGAAAAATAACAACAAACGTGAAAGGAAGACAAAGAAAGAAAACACCAGTGTTGTATAAAGTACCACAAAGTGATGAGTAAAAGTACAAGTATCTTACCAAAAAATTACTTTGGTAAAAGTTAAAGTCTCCTTTAGGAATATTACTTCAGTAAAAGTCTTAAAGTATCTGATATTTTTTGTACTTAAGTATTAAAAGTAAAAGTATTGATTTAAAATGAGCAGTTAGATTTTCTGTAAGGACATTTATTAGGAGGTGACCTCAACAAAAACTGCAAAAATGACTGTTGTATTAAAATAATGAATGGATGTTAAATTTAGGATGCACTAGTCCATCTGTTTCAGTTTATATACATATATCAAGGCTGCACAAATTCAGATACTTCTTAAGTACAGTCCTTTTATTTGAATGATTMTGTCCTGCTGGAGTGTGACATGATTTGTTTGTGTACAAACTAATACGCTATCATAGTTTTATATATTTATACTTCTCATTCAACCACAGTTAAATTCACTCTATCTAGGAGGCACAGTTTATATGGATAGTATGTATTTTTTACAATAACAAGCTGGAATGAAAACAAGCAAAAATGAAATAAAGGTAACAACTTTCTACTTCTTGCCTTGTTTAAAAATGTAAGAAGTAGAAGTAAAAAGTAGACTGAAAAATAATTACTCAAGTAAAGTACAGATACACAAAAATTCTACTTAAGTACAGTAACTAAGTATTTGTACTTAGTTACTTTACAACTCTGAYGTCGGACCCAGCAGTGAACTGTTGGTGAACCTAAAATATGTGACTAATGTCTCCAACCGGAGGTAAATGTGACACAGACACAGTAAAAAGAAAAAAAGTCTTCAGTGTTACATTTTAAAGTGCCTGTGACATGCCTATCCATCAAATGCAAAAAGTCAAAGAAAACACATTTTTACATAAGAAACCGTGCATCAAACATGATTTTACTCATTTTGTCACATAACTGGCATATTTTCTTTTGAACTTGGCTCAGCCAAAGTGCAACAGGAAGTGACATCAAAGGGGAACTCTTCAAGAGAACTCTCTAATCTTTGTTTATTGAAGCATTATTTGAACTCTAACTCATCTTCATCTCTCTTATAGGGCCTAAAATTATCTAAAGAAACATCAGAAGATTCCCTGCTGTCTGTGTTGTTAGCCGTTGTAGCATCRCTCTGTTTAAATTCAGATATTCCCCTTTGACATCACTTCCTGTTACTTCACATGCAAATATCTCAACGACTGTTCATCTCAGCAGCGGGAAATTATTTTTGCAATATACTAATAATGTTATCTTTCCAATAAAGCCTTTATATTTATTTTAAAAATCTTAAAGTGATTGTGACAAACTTTTTGTGATAAATGTGATAGCACTTTTGGAAAGATAACATGGATAATATATTGCAAAAGCAATTTCGCACCACTGAGATGAACAGTTGTTGAGATATTTGCATGTGAAGTAACAGGAAGTGATGTCAAAGGGGAATGTCTGAATGTAWACAGAGCGATGCTACAAGGGCTAACAACCCAGAGAGAAGGGAATTTTCTGATGTTTCTTTAGATAGTTTTAGTCCCTATAAGAGAGAGATGAAAAAAAGTCAGAGTTCAAATAATATTGTTTTAATAAACAAAGATCACAGAGTTCCCCTTTGATGTCACTTCCTGTTGCACTTTGGCTGAGCCAAGTTCAAAAGAAAATATGCCATTTAAGTGACAAAATGGGTAAAATCACATGTTTTATGCCAATTTTCCTAAACATGAAGATATTTTCTTTGACCTTTTGTGTTTGAAGGATAAGCATGTCACAGGTACTTTAACATCAGCTGAGCTGTGAAGCAAAGAAAAATAGTCAAATACTGTGATACTGGTGTAATGTTGAAAATACCATCCATCCATCCATCCATTTTCTGTACACGCTTCTTCCTTTTCAGGGTCGCGTGGGTCACTGGTGCCCATATCCAGCAGTCACAGTGCGAGGGGCGGGGTACACCCTGGACAGGTCGCAAGTCCATCACAGGGCCTGAAAATACCATGATATAATATTTTGGTCATACCCCCCAGCTGTAGTGGGGCTTCTATGGAAAAGTTATAAAGAATAAAGCATTTATTTTTGTGCTTGAGACACGGCTGCATGTTGAATAATTTATTTAATTGTATTTTTTTTATTTGTCCTTTATTTATACAGGAAACTCTCTTGAGACTTGTCGTCTTGTTTACAAGAGAAACCTGTTAATAAAAGCTGTTTCTGTCCTTCAGGAACTGGCCCCGTCTTCCCGCCTCAGGAGCCCCAGGGTCGGAGCTCCCACAGCCAGAGTCGCTCCCGCTCCCAGGAGCCGGAGGCTCCGGCCGTCCACCACCGGCGTTCGCAGGTCATCGGCGACGGCTACAACGCCGTAGAGGGGCGGAGCAAAGGCACGTCGTTCCTTAAATCCCCCAAAGGAACCTACAAGGGGAGCGGAGGGAACGGCGGGGGCAAGTCCACTAAGTGCCACGGATACAACCCCCCTGTGCAGACGGTCCTGCACGGCGGTCAGGACGTCTACCACTTGCCACACCAAGCTCCGCCCCCCGGCCATCACCAGCACCCTCTGCAGCACAGCCACAGCAAGCGGCTGAAGGCCAGAGCTCGAGAGTCCATGTCGCCGTCCAAAACGCCCCTCCTGCCTCCRTCCCACCCCCAGCAGCAGCCGCCCCCCGTCGCCCCAGTGCCGCCGAGCCTGGAGCAGGCCAACGGGCCGCCGGGGAGTCCCGGGTTCGTGGTTCCCGTGGTGCAGCGCCACGAGCATCACCACCACCACGAGCACCACCATCACCACCACTATCACCACTACCACCAGACATGACAGCCTCCCGCAGCGCTGCGGCTGAGTCTGCTCAGGACCAACCACGGCGTCTGAAGGACGTCTGAAGGACGTCTGAAGGACGTCTTCATCCCGCGGGAACACAGCGCCGAGCTTCCTGTGGAAACGATACATCCCGAGGAGACAAAACTCTGACAGAAGGTTCTTCAGTACCACACAATTTTTCTGTGTTTTTATAGTTTTTTTTACATGAATACCTAAACTCCTTCACACACATATTTACAGAGGCAGACAGTAGACAGAACAGGTCAGATAAATGTGCTTTGAAGCTGTCAAATAAAAGTCCTCCAAGCTACAGTTTCCGTCAGAAAAGCTGTTCTGTGCGAGACGTTTCCAAAAACCCAGATCTCAGGTGTAACCGGTGCTGCTGCTCTCCAGCTCTTCACACAGGCCTCGTTGGTGTAGATGCCTGCTGTGGGCGGAGAGCTTTCTTTGTGTGTTTGTTTGTTTGTTTGTTTGTTTGTTTGTTTGTTTGTTTGTTTGTTTGTTTTTGGGAGGGAGGGGGTATGAAATCACCACTGCCAGTTTTAATGCAAAAATATCTTGCTGTTATATATAAAAAAATCTATATATGTAAACACATTTTACTGTACACCATTATGCATATTTCATCATGGATATAATTATGCATATATGTATTTTGTCTTTTATATAAAATATATATTAATAAACATTATTTAGTTCATTTGTTTTACTGAAAAGAGTTTTTTTCCTCATAACTGCGGTTGTGTTGACAGCAGAAGCAGCAGTTTCACTATTTTTAGCTTTTAGTCTGATTAAAATGTTCAGAAAAAAACAGTTTTTTAACATGTTAACCCTTCTGGATGTGTCAAAAAGTTATGCACGATGCAGTAGATTTAAATTTGAGAGCAAACTTTGTCTCGGCTTCTTTAAAAGACGATGCACTTGATTAATTTCCAACATTTCTAGTTGTGTGACGCTTCACAATCATTCACACTATTCAGATCATCTTTTCTGTACGTGTTCAGAATCTAACTCGTTTCACAATTTTTGTGCTATTTTAACAATTCATACATCAAAACGTTCAGCTCATTTATGTGAAGGGTGCCATGACTTTTGGTATTTCAGCTTTTTATACTTTTTTGTTATTTCACTTTTTTAGCCACTTTTTTCCTCATTGAAAATAAATGGAGCTGTTTTCAACATCCTTAAAATTTTTAAAAATATTTCTAAATCTTTACAGCACCTTACATATTTTGTTCTAGTTCTGCTCATTTTCACTTTCTTGTGCTAATTTTAGCCACTTTTTTTGCTAATTTGAGCAATTTTCTGTTATCAGTGTGCATTGCMWWKGCAATGCACACTATTGTGATTCATTTCCCATCCAAGTCATCTCAACTTTGCCATGCTTCTCCTCCTGCATACTTTGTCCTAGAGCTTCCATTGTAATTTATATCTGTAAAACTCCTGTGCCAAATGATGGCTATGCCTTTTGGTGTCTGTAAAACTTATAGTTTATGAAATATTAATGTTTAATCAATTATAATGGCAGTCAATGGAACCTTGTATTGGTCCAATACTGCCCCATGCTGTACTCAACTTGGTACTGCACCATAGTTTAATATTTCAACTCAGTAGTTCAGTGTTTACAGTACTAATATGATTGTATTTTGATGTTTTACTATAATGTCTTAAAACTGCTCGATTGTTGTAATATTATGCATTTTTGTGTCAATAATTGTATTGGCAATGTGGCCTCTTTCTACACACATACAAACCAACCCCTGCCACCATCTTCTGCCACAGCTCCATTGGTCTAATGGTCTATGTCATGGACTCTCATGTGTGAGATCAGGGTTCAAAACCTAGCTTATACAACTTTAACAAAAAAATCTCTTCTAACTTCATATTGTCACACAATTACCTTAATTACAAACACCTGCTGACGTGACAGGCACAAGCTGGTATAGAAAACACATTTGAACTTGGTCAAAGTTCATTCTGCAAGTCCAATGCTGCAGGCAAAGCCATGCTGCAATGACATGCTACAAGGCAATGCACACTTGTTTTTACATCGTAAAAACCCAGGTCTAGTTTTAGTTACATTTCTGTTTCTTTCCACCATTCTTCTTTCTTCAATATATTTGTGTTTTTCTGCTACTTTGTGCTGTTTATGCTTTCACCGATGCCTTCTGTCATTCAGCTTTTTTCTGAAATTTTAGCTAATGTTTAGCTGCTATTAGCTAAAGTTAGCATTTCTAAGCTAAATACAATTTTTTTGCTAATACAACTTTTTCCAGCTAAGTTCAGCAAACTTGTGCTCCTTATGCTTCCTTATGCTAATAAAAAAGTTCCAGCTACTTTTTAACAATTTTACTAAAAATTATCACTTTTTTGTACAATTATGCATTTTTTTCTGCTAGTTTTGTAATTTACAATACCTTCTCTATATGGGTGCTAATTTCAACTTGTGGCTGCTACCTTTAGCCTATTTTATGCTAATTTTAGCTATTGTATGCTACTTTAGCTATGGATCTTTCTGCTGTTCTTCCACTTTATTCTACTTTTTATGCTTTTTTCTGCTACCTATAACTATTTATTCTTCTTACAGATGTTTTTGGCTATATTCAGCTATTTTAGCTTTTAGCTGTTTTCAACTAGATTTGTGCTCCATTTTACAGTTTTTTGCAAAGTTAGTCTTTTTTTTTTGCTTCTTTCTGCTTTTCAAAGTGAGCTCACATTAACTATTTTCCTATTAAATTGTTTCAGCTCAATTTAAGCAGCTTTCAGTTTAAGTTTTCAGCATGAAGCATTCACACCTAGCATTTTCAGAGGAAATGCAATTTCTCCAGTTAAATTTGTTCTTTGTGCAAACCAAAGAGATGCTGCCTGAGAGCTGATGGTCCTGCAGCAGGAAACCAAACTAGGACTGAAAATCAAGGATAAATCAGCCAGGATGTGTTTGCTGTGGAAGTTCCACATTTTAATTATTTATCAATTCAACAAAAGTCCACCTGATGTGAAGAACCTTTCGTTCACAGAGTCCCTTTAAATTATGGTTTGGATGTTTCAGTGCTCGAGTGTTAAAACAGGTGTTGTTTCTCAGGCAGCCACTAGAGGGCGATGAAGAGTCACACTTGAAAACATCAAGCTGTCATATCCTGATGCATCTCAGTAATCCAGGTAAAAAAATCAAAAAGAAAAAAATTGTATAGGTCTTCTGGACGGTTTCTTCTCTAATGAAACGTTTCGTCTCTCCTCCAAGAGACTTCTTCAGTCTGAGAGTTTCAGGCAAAATTCAGGCTTTTAAGCCCTGCCTCCATGTGACTGATACTCACATCACATGGCTATTTTTGACACCTAATGCTAACAGGGGTGGAGTGATACTGGCAATAGCCGCGCTGTAGGAGGGGGACAACTGAAAATGGAGGCCTCCACCTC